CTCGATACCCAGGGGTTACGCTCACTTTCACTCTCTACACCCCTGGAATTATCCTTGATATCCAGGGGTTACGCTCACTTTCGTTCTCTACACCCGATTTGTCAGGGTTTTTTTACCCGAGACCAAACAAACAGCTATCTTCGTGCCTTCAATTTTGCTATGACATGTACATATTCCAGGGGTGTAGAGAGCGAATGCGAGCGTAACCCCAGGATATCAAGGATGATGTGTAGCATTCCCTTTAAACTGTAACAGGAAAGAGAATAGTGTGCTTCCAAGGGGATCAAACCCACAACCCCCTGAGCTCCCAGTCTACTGATCAAGCTAAAGGGAAATTCCCTCTAGTATAAAGCTAGAAGGTGATCGTACTCCTACATGTATATGTACCATTAAAATCTGCCCCACTACTTCCCACTTTTTTAAATGTGTCCACCCCCGAACACCACAACCCAGGTTCTAACTCCCTCTCACCACAGGAAGGGCCATGCATGGACACCATTTGTAACAGTAAAGAGAGTAGCGTGCTTCTTCCGGGGATCGAACTCACGTCTCCAGACTTCCTAGTCGAACGCTCTACCACCGAGTTAAAGGGAAATGCTCTCTAGCGAGAAGGACAGTGAGTAGAAGAGGATCATAATCCTATATGTACAATAATAAACTGCCTCAGAACAAATACAATCAAACTAGATTAAACAAGTTAAAGATATATATTGACACATGAGTGACACGAAGATACTGTACAATCATGAAACATGTACATGTAGGTTTGCTGAGCAGTTGTACTTTCAATAAATAAGAGACTTTTAAGAATCAGCCCAAGATAGAACCACAGACCATACTGGATTTTAAAGTTTAAACTATGTTCATCAAGATATAACCACAGATCATACTGGATTTAAAGTTTAAACTATGTTCATCAAGATATAACCACAGACCATACTGGATTTAAAGTTTAAACTATGTTCATCAAGAAATGACCACAGATCATACTGGATTTAAAGTTTAAACTATGTTCATCAAGATATAACCACAGATCATACTGGATTTTAAAGTTTAAACTAGTCTATGTTCATCAAGATATAACCACAGACCATACTGGATTTCAAAGTTTAAACTATGTTCATCAAGATATAACCACAGATCATACTGGATTCTAAAGTTTAAACTAGTCTATGTTCATCAAGAAATGACCACAGATCATACTGGATTCTAAAGTTTAAACTAGTCTATGTTCATCAAGATATAACAACAGACCATACTGGATTAAAAGTTTAAACTATCTTCATCAAGATATAACAACAGACCATACTGGATTTCAAGTTTAAACTATGTTGATCAAGATATAACCATAAACCATACTGGATTTATAGTTTAAACTATGTTGATCAAGATATAACCATAAACCATACTGGATTTATAGTTTAAACTATGTTTATCAAGATATTACCACAGACCATACTGAATTTTAAAGTTTCAACTATGTTCATCAAGTTATAACCATAGACCATACTGGAGTTAAAAGTTTAAAGTATGTTCATCAAGATATACCCACAGATCATACTGGATTCTAAAGTTTAAACTAGTCTATGTTCATCAAGAAATGACCACAGATCATACTGGATTCTAAAGTTTAAACTAGTCTATGTTCATCAAGAAATGACCACAGATCATACTGGATTTAAAGTATAAACTATGTTCATCAAGATATAACCATAGACCATACTGGATAGC